GTACGGTATATAACGTATGTATACCGGTACAGACATAATAGGCCTATTTACTGTAATAAGAATGAGAAAAATCTACCTGATCGTTTTCAATGGGGAAAAAACCCCACTCCAGAAGTCGAGAAGGCTCATTTCCCGCCAGTTAGAAATCAACATTTTCCCGGGGAGAACCCGAACCCGTCTTTCTCTTTGGGGTTCATTGATTCATGGAATCGTTTTCAAGAAGGGGAAACCTTGAATTTTGAAGAACTTAAAGTAATTAAAAGACATGTCAGAATTCGGGAAAGCTCATTTCCCACCATCTAGAAATCGAAATTTTCCGGAGGGAACCCGCACCCCCTTTATCTTTGGGGCTCATCGATTCATGGAATCGTTTTCAAGAGGGGGAAATCCTTGAATTTTAATGAACCTAAAAGTCATTAAAAGACACCACAGAAGTCGGGAAAGCTCATTTCCCGTCATCTAGGAATCAATCATCCAGGTATGCAATTACTCAATTCTGCTTTATGTACACACAAGACCTATTTACTGTAATAAGAATGAGAAAAAATTACCTGACCGTTTTCAAGAGGGGAACATTTCAGAAGTCGGGAAAACTCATTTTCCGCCATTTAGAAATCAACATTTTCACGGGGCGAACCCGAACCCCCGTTTCTCTTTGGGTTCATTGATTCATAGATTCGTATTTAAGAGGGAAAATCTTGTATTTTGAATAACTTAGAAGTCAATAAAAGGTACACCTCAAAAGTCGGAAAAGTTATTTTCCCGCCTTCTAGGAATCAAAATCTCTTTGGGGTTTATCAATTCATGAAAAAAAAAAACGTAGTATGCAACTACTCAATTCTTTTTATGTAATGTAGGCACTAAACACACAATAATATTAACAGGCCTATTTACTGTAATATAAGAATGAGAAAATTTACCTAACGTTTACCTGACGCTCACGGACGTTACACCACTAAGGTACCCTACCTCGGAAATGGACGAAATTGAGCTGTCCACCGAGAGATAATTCCCTACTTTTTCCGACGAGTGTAGGCCTACTGCGTTCTTTAACGTGCCCATAAATCATTTTGCACACGGGACCAAGCGTCTTTTTGAAACTTGTATTTCAGCCCTGCAGCTGAAAAATAAAGTCACGTAACTACATTGGAAAAGGATAGAGGTGGTGAAGCATTACCTGCCCATTACTAAAAATTAACCAAATAACACTACATTTTAAATAAATATTTCTGCTCTAATACAACCTCTTGTATGGAACCCAATGCTTATGGAGGTTCATGTTTTTGAGCAAAAGTATGAAATCGTCATATCGCTGCAACGCTTAGGTCTATAGAAATCATTTTAGTGTCAAATTGTATAAAAGACATACATTTATATTTTCTCAAATACAACTTTTGCTATGAACCTAATGCTTACTGATGAGAAATTCTTCAAAATCAAATGAAAATGTTTGGCAAATATATGAAAAGGCCATGCAGTATCAGTTTGCTAGATCAGATATTTAGGTCTTGACATAGTAGGCCTATACAGAAATATGGCTCTTCACCATCCATAGATGGAGAATGATAAATGGTCAAAATGATACAGGAGGCAAGCATTACCTACCAAAAACTGACTATACAACACTATACAGTACATTTTTTGTGTATACTGCCCCCAGGCAGTAGACACTTTGCTATTCTCGTCAATCCGGAAGCATAAAGTTGACATTGTGAGCGTGAGTTGACATTCACAAAAGTGTGAAGTAAGAATCCTGAAGTGCAAAGTTGACATTATGTCACGTTCGTGATGTGTGATATGACGTGATTTTACTAATACAGTACCCGTAAACTCGGTCGTGTGTTGTACGATGCATTGGCAGTAGACACACGCTCCCGCTGGGAGCCTATTTGTTTAAAGAACTATAGGAACTAGGAATCTGGCTTCACACATCAATAGTCCCTCTATGGCCCTCACAGACGACGAGCCGTGTTAATATATAGGCCTAGTGGTTAATAGCGATACGAAAGAGATGTATATCAGTTTAATGTGTTTGTCTACTTTATGTTTTTTTTCTTATTGTTATTATACTTGGTCGATATTGTATACAAATATGTTAATATATATATACATATGTAAATATATATATATATATATATAAATATATATATACGGTATATATATATATATATATATATATATATATATATATCGGCGCCCACTGTGATATGGCTACCTGCTCATCATTTCGTTTATAAATGTATTTACTGTCTCTTATACAC